TACTGGCACAAAAACAGACACATAGATCAATGGAACAGAATAGAGAGCCCAGAAATGGACCCTCAACTCTATGGCCAACTAATCTTCGACAAAGCAGGAAAGAATGTCCAATGGAAAAAAGACAGTCTCTTCAACAAATTGTGTTGGGAAAACTGGACAGCCTCACATGCAGAAGAATGAAACTGGACCATTTCCTTACACCATACACAAAAATAGACTCAAAATGGTTGAAAGACCTAAATGTGAGACATGAGTCCATCAAAATCCTAGAGGTAAATACAGGCAGCAACCTCTTTGACCTCAGCCGCAGCAACTTCTTCCTAGAAACATCGCCAAGGGAAGCAAGGGCAAAAATGAACTATTGGGACTTCATCAAGATAAAAAGCTTCTGCACAGCAACGGAAACAGTCAACAAAACCAAAAGACAACCGACAGAATGGGAGAAGGTATTTGCAAATGACATATCAGATAAAGGGCTAGTATCCAAAATCTATAAAGAACTTATCAGGGGCATCTGGGTGGCTCAGTTGGTTAAGCATCTGCCTTTGGCTCAGGTCATGAACCCAGAGTCCTGGGATCGAGTCCCGCAACAGGCTCCTTGCTCAGTGGGGAGCCTGCTTCTCCCTTTGCCTGCTGCTCCCCCTGCTTGTGTGCTCGCGCGTGCTCTCACTCTCTCTCTCTCTCTCTCTCTCTCTCTCTCACACACACACACACACACACACACACATACACACACAAATTAAAAAAAAAGAACTAGGGACCCCTGCTGGCTCAGTGGGTTAAGCACCTGCCTTTGGCTCAGGTCATGATTCCAGAGGCCCACATGGATCGGGCTTCTTGCTCAGTGGGGATCCTGCTTCCCCCTCTGCCTGCTGCTCCCCCTGTTTGTGTTCTCTCTCTCTCTCTCTCTCGAAAATTTAAAAATCTAAAAAAAAAAAACTAACCCAAAGAACAAATAATCCAATCAAGAAATGGGCAGAAAACATGAACAGACATTTCTGCAAAGAAGACATAGAAATGGCCAACAGACACATGAATAAATGCTCCACATCACTCAGCATCAGGGAAATACAAATCAAAACCACGATGAGACACTACCTCACACGGATCAGAATGGCTAAAATTAGCAAATCAGGAAACGACAGATGTTGGCGAGGATGCAGAGAAAGGGGAACCCTCCTACACTATTAGTGGGAATGTAAGCCGGTGCAGCTGGAAAACAGTAAGGAGGTTCCTCAAAAAGTTGAAAATAGAGCTCCCTTATGACCCAGCAATTGCACTACTAGGTATTTGCCCCAAAGATAGAAATGTAGTGATTGGGGTGCCTGGGTGGCTCAGTCATTAAGCGTCTGCCTTCAGCTGGGGTCATGATCCCAGTGTCCTGGGATTGAGCCCCACATGGAACTCCCTGCTCCGCAGGAAGCCTGCTTCTCCCTCTCCCACTCCCCCTACTTGTATTCCCTCTCTCACTGTGTCTCTGTCAAATAAATAAAATCTTCAAAAAAAAACTGTAGTGATCCAAAGGTGCACATGCACCCCAGTGTTCATAGCAGCAAAGTCCACAATAGCCAAACTATGGAAAGAGCCCAGATGTTCATCAACGGAGGTGTACATATACAATGGAACATTATGCAGCCATCAAAAAAATGAAACCCTTATATCATTAATTACCATAAATATAAATGGCATAATATTCCATTAAAAAACAAAGATTTCCATACTGGTTTTAAATATATGGGGTGCCTGGGTGGCTCAGTCAGTTAAGCATCTGACTCTTGATTTTGGCTCACGTCATGATCTCAGGGTTGTAAGCAGGGAGTCTGCTTAAGATTCTCTCCCTCTCCTTCTGCCTGCCCTACCCCTGCTCATATATGCACACAAGCGTGCGTGTGCATGCTATCTCTTTCTCTCTCTAAAATAAATAAATCTTGGGGTGCTTGGGTGGCTCAGTCATTAAGTGTCTGCCTTCGGCTCTGGTCATGATCCCAGGGTCGTGGGATTGAGCCCCACATCGGGCTCCCTACTCAGTGGGAGGCCTGCTTCTCCCTTTCCCACTCCCCCTGCTTGTGTTCCCTCTCTCGCTGTGTCTCTCTCTGTCAAATAAATAAATAAAATCTTTAAAAAAATAAAATAATCTTAAAATATATATATATTTAATAATGTAAAAAAAAGAAATCTTACCATTTACAACGACATGGATGGAACTAGAGGGCATTATTCTAAGCATAATAAGCCAATCAGAGAAAGACAATTACCATATGATCTCACTGATATGTGGAATTTAAAAACAAAACAGATCATAGGGGAAGGGAAGGAAAAATAAAACAAGACAAAAGCAGAGAGGGAGACAACCCATGAGAGACTCTTAACTCTATGAAACAAACTGAGGGTTGCTGGAGGGGAGGGGAGTGGAGGGATGGGGTAACTGGGTGGCAGGCATTGGGGGGCATGTGATGTAAGGAGCACTGCGTGTTAATATGAACTGATGACTCAGAGACCTCTACCTCTGAAACTATTAATACACTATATGTTAATTGGATTTAAATTTAAAAAGATAAATTATTTAAAAATATTTAAAAATAAAAAGGAACAGTCAGAATAAAAGTCTTGAAATTCAAAAAAAAGGAGAGATCCCTGTTGACTTAGGGGTTGGGGGAAGCCAGTGGTTCTCTGAAGACTTTGACCCTGTTCACTGGGCACTTCTATCAGATTTGAATTGTTGACAAGAAACATGATGACTTTTGTAAGAAAATGAAACGCTGCTTTTTAAAGCCTGCATTCCTAGGCTTTCTGGGTCTTCATGGAAAATTATTTCAACCTAAAAAGCTCTATTCAGAAAGTTATCTGTTAAGGGGCGCCTGAGTGGCTAAGTCAATAGACCCTGAGACTTTGGATCTCAGGGTCATGAGTTCAAGCCCCACGTTGTACATGGAGCCTACTTGGAAATAATAATGAGGTTATCAGTTAGGTGAGAAAGGTTCTCAAGACATTCAAGACTTCCTCCACCTGCCCCTCACTCCCACCCTCCCAGGACTACCCCTGGGAACACCCGCCCCCACTGACCAAGACAAAACGTGCTCCTAACAGTGCAAAGGTTAAAATACCAGAGCGCTTGCGTCCCCAGGGCTATCTAGACATCTTGACGGTCTGGCCGCCAGGCACGGGGTGCGCACACATCCCAGTAAAACCGCAGTTCCCGAGCCACTTCTGCAGGGGCAGCACCCCCCGCCCCGGGAGCCCCCAACTCGGCCCTCACCGGAGCAGGTCGGGGCAGAAGAGATGGCGGTACTCAGGGAGACACTCGTCCTCACTGACATCGGGCGGCGGCTGGGCCATGGCGCTCGGTGAGGGCCGGGGGCGGCGAGGGCTGCAGGGACCTGCCCGGATCCGGCAGCAGCGGCACCTCTGAGACCCGCCGCGCTCTCTGGCCGTCAGCGCCCTACAACTGTGGGGGTACCGAGATCCAGTCGGCCCCTCCCTGCGTCCGACCACCCCGCTAGCCCCGCCCACAGTCACCTCCTCTTCCGCCCAGGACGCCCCGCCCCCGGCGTCCGCCCACCCCCGTTAGCCCCGCCCACAGCGGTCTCCTGGTTCCTCCCAGGACGCCCCGCTAGCCCCTCCCACAGCTGCCTCCTCTTCCGCCCAGGACGCCCCGCCCATGGCGTCCGACAGACCCGCCAGCCCCGCCCACAGCTGTCTCCTGTTCCTCCCAGAACGCCCTGCCCACGGCACCCGACCGCGCCACGAACCCCGCCCACACCCACCTCCAGTTCCTCCCAGGGCACCCCGCTAGCCCCGCCCACAACAGTCTCCTGTTCCTCCCAGAACGCCCTGCCCACGACGCCTGACTAGCCCACCAACCCCGCCCACAGCTGTCTCCTGTTCCGCCCAGGACGCCCCGCCAGCCCCGCCTACAACTTCCTCTTGGTTCCTCCCAGGACGCCCCGCCCACGACACTCGACCGCCCCACGAACCCCGCCCACAGCTGCCTCTTGGTCTTCCCTGGACGCCCCGCCCACAGCCCCCTCCTGTTCCTCCAGTGACGCTCCTCCCAGGGCGGCCCACCGCCTGCTAGCCACGCCCATAGCGGCCCTAGCTCCTCCCAGGATTTTCTGTTCACCGCTACGGCGCCGCCTGCTGGGACTGGAGTTCGGTCGCGGTGCGCGCAGGCGCATGGGGCGGGTGGGTCCCTAAGGAAAGTCTTCCCCCTCACGCGGCCAACCCCAGTGCCAGTTCCTAAAACGACCTGTTTCATGACCGATTAAGAAAGTCAGGGCACTTCATTGGTGTCGTCACGTGGACGCACAGGTAGCAACAAGTGCTGTGAATCCAGGATCAGGGCATCGTTTATAAAGATGTCAAAAAGGGGGTGCCTGGGTGGCTCAGTCATTAAGCGTCTGCCTTCGGCTCAGGTCATGATCCCAGGGTCCTGGGATCGAGCCCCACATTGGGCTCCCTGCTCAGCAGGAGGCCTGCTTCTCCCTTTCCCACTCCCCCTGCTTGTGTTCCCTCTCTCGCTGTGTCTCTCTCTGTCAAAAAATAAATAAAATCTTAAAAAAAAAAAAAAAGAAACAGAAGGAAACTTCCAAACTCTTCCTATGAGGCCAGCATTACCTTGATCCCAAAACCAGACAAAGACCCCACCAAAAAGGAGCATTACAAACCAATATCCCTGATGAACATGGATGCAAAAATTCTCACCAAGATACTAGCCAGTGGGATCCAACAGTACATTAAAAGGATTATTCACCACTATCAAGTGGGATTTATTCCTGGGCTGCAAGGGTGGTTCAACATCCACAAATCAATCAATGTGATACACTACCTTAATAAAAGGAGGAACAGGAACCATATGATCCTCTCAATAGATGCAGAAAAAGCATTTGACAAAGTACAGCAAATTTTCTTGATTAAAACTCTTCACAGTGTAGGGATAGAAGGAACATACCCCAATATCATAAAAGCCATATACAAAAAGCCCCCAGTGAATATCAACCTCAATGGGGAAAAACTGAGAGCTTTTTCCGTACAGTTAGGAACACGACAGGGAGGCCCACTATCACCACTGCTGTGCAACATAATACTAGAGAAGAAGAAGATAGCAGGAGGGGAAAAATGAAGGGGGGGAAATCGGAGGGGGAGACCAACCATGAGAGACAATGGACTCTGAAAAACAAACTGAGGGTTCTAGAGGGGAGGCAGGTGGGGGGATGGGTTAGCCTGGTGATGGGTATTAAAGAGGG